TGCCTTAGCCCTACCTTTGCCAGCCAGCGCCAGAGGACAGCTTTATGGAGTTTAATGACCTGCCGTCGGTGATCAGCGGTCAATGCCGGATCCCTCCCCGACACACTCCAGTGACTGCTTCTAGCGGGACTGCCTTGGGACACGGCTGCTCACTCCCTGTTGCTAGAATGTTTGGGGGCGTCTGCGGGAACCAGCAGGTCAGTCTAGGACAGCGCAGTGCCCAGGTCAATGTCCTGTTAGCGCCAAAGGGCAGGGTCACCAACCACCAGCAAAATGGTCCCCAAGGAAGGCGCTTGGTGGCCGCTGTGCTCTCTGAAGAATTGAGCACAATAACTCTCCTTCACAAACACAGATGTCAATTCATCTGCTGGAAGTGGTTTTAAGAAAATCCTCCTTCCTCACGGGGCGAAAATCTCAGACCAGCGATGTGAGCTTTTCCCATACCCTCCGTGGGCCCCAACTTGTTATAAAGTTCATCACCTCCGTCTGCAAAGCCCCTGTGTTTTGTGGCATTACATCTAACTGAAAAGATGTGAAAGGCCAAGAAAATCATTCCAATCTATTATCAAAATCCCAAAACTCAGGGTGGGGGAGTGAGGGGAGGGAACTGCAGCTGTGCAAAAGTTCAGATTAAATTCTGTTTTTGCAGGAAAAAAAAAGCCATAAGAAAACTAGAGACGGCAAGCTCGGGTCGAGGAGCTCCTGCGTCCCCCTAGCCTAAGTTACATCCCCCAGCACCCCCGCCCCATGAAACAATATTTTTAAGAGGAAAAGAAATAATTTCTTAAAGAGCCCCTACAAATTAACAATGGCACAGGCCCGTGATCCTGGGGAGTGCGAACTGTAAGAGATGTTTGGGTCTACAGACTTCCCTTTGTAGGAGTAAGTGACCGTGGAGACCCAGAGGTGTGGCCGGCATGGAAACCAACCCGTGCTGCCATGTGCAGGGGGAAGGGACAGGTGAGAGGGCGGAGGCCTGGACAGGCGCCTTGTAAGTGTGAAGAGACCATGGAGCATAAACGTGGGGGCTGGAAGGAGCCTCAGGAGTCATCATACCCTCACCCACCGAGGGGAGCCGCCAGCGCAGGCCTGGCAGGCAGGGCTGGCACCTCCGCGGCCCAGGTGAGGACGCTTCTGGTTTCCCGAGGGAGGGCACCTCACCCGGGGCTCCGCTCTGCCTGTCGGGGTGCGGGGGTGGGGCAGACAAGCAACCACGGCACAGATTCAGGAGCACTAGCATTTCCAATGATTTATTTCATCGTGGCATAAGCGGACACGGACAAGGCTTCACAGCAATTGCGCCCAGGCGCGAGAAACCGAAGCGGTAGCTCATTCCCTGCGCGTACAGCGTCCACGGGCCTAACCTGTGGGGAGCAGGGCTGGTGCGTCTCTACCCGATGCCCCCCTGCAGTCTGTTCACGCTTGTTAGAGCCGTGGAGGGCTGAATCCTCCCAGGAGATGTGTCCAGCCTGCACTTCGGCTCCCCGCAAGCAGAGTCCCGGTGCGCGTCACAGCGGCACGCCCGGCACCAGAGCGCGGGGGCCTGGCCGTGCATGCTGGCAGGTGCGGGGGGCAGGGGCAGAAAGGAGCGTGTGGCTGGAGCGTGTGCAGTCTCCCTTCCCAGCCCCATCACTTCTCACGAATACCACAGGCCAGGAACAGGGTAAGTGAGAATGTGGAATTTTTTTAATGCCCGACTACAACATTTCATAAGCTGGGAAGCGTCTAAAATAAAACACAAGCGGCCCATCGGCTGACATTTCGGCCCTGCAGGTGCTCCAGCGGGCTGTGGTCCCAACGGACCTCAGCTTTAGAAAATACAGCCAAGGACCTCAAACACAGGCCGTTTGAGAATCGCTCACAGGAAGTTACCCAAGAGCGCGCCCGAGGAGCCAGCATTACCAACGCCACCAGAAACGGCGCAGATGCGGCAGACGGCTGCGTTTCTTGAGTGTCTGCGGCAAAATGCACACGTAAGAGTTTGAACCGCAGCAGACGCACAGCCATGGCGTCTGTGTGTCCTCTTAGAGGGCCCCCAGGGACGCAGAAACCCCACCAGCAAGGCCCAAGTCCAGCTCGAAAGCTGCCAAGGGTCGCTCAGGGCTCAGGTTGTTCCCAAGACCAAGAATAAACACGTAGAAGATGTGGCCAGCCCCGTGTCTCTGTGGCTCAAGTGAACCTCCATGGACAAAGGGTGTTGGCTAGCCAAAAGCCGGACCTTTCTATCCACGGCAGTCTCCCCGGACAAGCCCCCTGCTCGTTCGCATATGGGAAATGTCTGCGTGCAGGGGTCACCTGTGTGAGAGTTGTGGGTGGTCCTACACACACCAGACTCGCCGGCCTCTGACAGATCCGTCTTCAGGAGTTGGCGGCAAAACGAGCAACCCCGGAATGAGAATACTGAGGCATCCCTACACGGTGCTGGGTGCAGGCCTGAAGCGTCCCGTTGTCTATGCAAAGGCCCCTCCTTGGAGCATCAGCCGTCAGGGGCACGTCTCGGCAGGGAATGCCCCCCAACAGCCCCGCCCCACACCACGCAGTCCTCCACACCGTGGCCCCGGCCCCCACATGCTTACCTGACTGCTGCAAGCCTTGTGGTTACAACCCCAAATACTGGCCCAAAGCAAAATAAACTGGTCCTCGTGGCATGTTTCTAGGAGGTATTTGTATTTAGAAATAAGATCCACGGTCTTCTATGTCCTCCCACCTACCCTTGCGTTTCCCTGGGCTTGCTCGTGCATTCCACTGCAGCAAAGCCTGGAACTCCGAGGCCAGTTCCCGCAGGAGTGATGCCAGGTCCGGGGCCGGCCTTTGTTAAATTAAATCATAAAACAACACACAGAACTCCAGCTGGGCACGGGACGCTGAGGCTGTCAGCACCCGCCAGCCAGCACCTCCCATGTGCCCCTGCAGGGACGAGCCTGCTTCGGAAATTCACTCCCACAGCATTTTGTTTTGAAACAGCAAACATCGCAGGAATGATTTCGTGAGCAAAATCACAGTGATAGTATTTCATGAATTTGAGAATTAAGGAATGAAAATATTGGCCTGGTTCCATTTCACATAAAAGCTTTAGCATAAATATAACTTTCTAGAGGGAAATGTGCTAGGACACAAGGCGCACGTTTCTTTAAAAGAACATTGTTTCCTTTTGCTCTAACTTCCCTTTCTGCTACCGTTGCCGCGTTCTACTCCTATGGAAGGCCAGGCAAGGCGAAGTCTGTCCTTCTTTTCTAAGATGAAGAACCAGGCTGCCAAGATACCTTCTTGGCTCAGGAGCAGTCGTGAGTGAGCACACAGGTCACCAGAAGATACTCTAACAGAAATCCTAAACTCCATTCCTCTGGCTTGTGCATAATGACACAAGCTAGTCACTTCCAAACATACTCAACCAGTAACTTCCATAACCACAGACTCTTTAGAAAGCATAACTTATTTCCCAATGACCCACTGTTGCTACAGAGACGTCAACCCCCACCACTGGGGAAAGAAGGGAAAAGCAGTAAGGGGGTGCGTGATTTCCTCTGGTTAAGTGCCCGTCACTGTAAACATGCACTTTTCCTATTATAATTTTTTTAAATGGCCTCGATTCAGAATCCAGATCGGTTTGCCTCTGTTTCTGAGCACACACTTTACCCTAAATTCTTAATAAACAGTAAACTCTGTCTACACCTGTTTGGAAAGTAAAATGTTCTAACAAATGAGCAATCACTTGGTTTCTTTTTAACCCTTGTGACCTCTCAAAGTACTGAAATTGATGTTAATTCTATTAGGGTTTTGGAATTTGATTAGAAAAAATGTACTTTACCTGCTACTTACATTATAAATACACATTACCTCCCCCTTATGTCAGTATACTTCTTGTCACTGCCACATCTTCCTGCCACCATACTTGTAAAAATTAATCTCCCTCGTCAGAAAGGCCTAATACATCCTGCGAACATCGGTAACTAGTGGATTCCAAATGTGCCTACATGTTTGTCTTTAGAAGTGCCGAGAGGGGTTTCAACCTTCTTCTTGGGAGCGAGGGGAAGGGGCACCCGTTTCTTTGAGCCCGTTAGAGAACAGGAAGGTGGCTGCTCATGCAGAGGGCACCTGAGGAAGATTCCTTTCAAAACAGACAAGCATCCTTGGGGTCAGCTTTTGCTACTCACGGTCTGCTCTCTGAAGTAAGTCATTACTAGGACATCAGATATAATCATTAACACCCTTTAACTCAAAAATCTGTAAGCTATCTGGGTTGAAAGGTGAGATGGAGTGGCCCTTGAGAGGGGGTGAGGCCCATTCTGTGGGATCCGCAGCGGGCAGGGGCAATCCTTCCCTGCTTGCTGGACAGGAGACAGGGACAGATCCCACCTTTCATGCTTGGAACATCGGGAACTAACCCAACCCACACTTGAACCTAGGATGACATGAGCCTTTTCACTAAAGCAGAAGAAGTTTTAAGAGCTCTGCATATGGGTTATGAGTGTAAACCTCAAGCCAAGAGAACTCACGGTGGCCTACTTCAGGGGCTCCCCTGGGGCGCCGTGGCCCTGAGCTATGTGCAGGGCCTTCTCCTGGCGCAGTTAGGAAGCTACTGTGCACACTCCCGTCTGCGACGCTCTCCATCCCACTCAGGAGCTCAAGCGCCCCTGAGCACCCCGGGACAACCGACGGGCACTCTGGGACCCACCCACTGATCCTGAGGGTCATCTTCCACTTCCTCCTCCTTCTCCCTCCAATATCCCATGCCCTATTTGTAAGGTCACCTCTTTACACACACCTTACATATTGTGCCATTGACCCCGTCGAGCATAGCGGCGCAAAAGGGAATGCAGAATAGGGCAGCAGACCTTGAAACAGCATTGCAAAAAGTCTTCAAGGCCCCGCGACAAGCTTCCAACTTCAAAGGGTTTAAATGGTCCCCATGGACCGTGCCCCCCCCCCCGCCCCCTCCAGTTGGATCTCCGCCCACGGGGGCGTCCCTGAGGGAGATGCCCAGGTGGACCCCGCCCGCCCTACGCGGCGCCCTCCTCGCCTCGGTCTGGCTTCTCCGGCAAGTTGAGCACGAACGGGAAGAGCGCGCCTCGCGCGTCCAAGGGGACGCGGAGCGGCGCGGGCTCGAAGCTGCCGCCTTCGCCCGCGCCCACATCCGCGCCCGGCTCGCTGTCCTGCGGGGGCACGAAGCGCCAGGTGCCTGCGCGGCTCACGCAGTAAATGGTGCCGTCCAGCGCCACGCAGCGGAAGGGCTGCAGGCTGGACGGCGCGCCCGGGGGCCGCAGGTGCGCGGCGCAGCGGCTCCACTGCTTGGCCAGGCAGTGGTAGCGGAACACGCTGACGCCTCCGGCCTCCGCCGCCTGCGAGTCGCCACGGCCCCCGCCCAGGTCGAAGCGGTAGATGAAGCCATCCAGGGCCACCATGGCCGCGGAGCGCTCCCGACTGCTGCTGCACGGGCACTCCTGCCACTCGTCGCGCCGCGGGTCGTACTTGAGCAAGCGGTAGAAGAGGGAGCCCCCGGACACGTAGATCTCGCCGTTGCAGGTGGTGGCTTCGTGCGCCACAGCGAAGGCGCCGCGGGGCAGCGGGGCCACGGCGGCCCAGCGGTCGGCGCGCGGGTCGTAGCGCTCCACGCTGAGCAGGCACTCACCGCCCACGGCGTACAGGTGGCCGTCCAGGGCCAGCAGCTGCAGCTGCGAGCGCGCCTGGCGCAGCGGCCGCACGGTGCTCCAGCGCTCGGTGGCCGGGTTGTAGCAGAAGACCTGGTCCGAGGGGCGCGCGCGGCCGTCGGGACCCGCCAGCCCCACGCCGCCGGCCACGAAGAGGTAGTTGTAGAGCACGCACAGGCCGCAGCCCCGCGCCGGCGCGCCCTCGGGCAGCCGCGTCAGCTCGCGCCACTCGCCGGCCGCCTCGTGCAGGCAGTAGACGGCGGCGTCGCCCCGGCCCTCCGCATCCCCCGACGGGCTCTGCGGGCGGCTGCCCGCGCGCTCCCCGGCCGGTCCGAGCGCGGCGGCCAGCAGGCGGGCCCGGCCGGCGCGCAGGCGGCGGCGCAGCAGCAGGTCGCGCTCGGCGCCCGATAGGCGCCCGAACACCGCGGGCTCGCGCAGCACGTCCAGGTAGTGGTCGCTCATGAAGCGGTAGGCGGCGTCGCGCAGCTCGGACAGCCGCTGCCGCTTGGCCGCGCTCAGCACCTCGTAGCAGTTGGCCAGGCTCAGCTGCGGCGCCACGGCGTCGGTGGCGCGCTGCACGGCGCACGGCAGCTGCAGGCGGCGCGCGCCGGCCACCACCTCGGCCACGTTGTCGGGTCGCACGCCCGCCATGCGCCCGCTGTACGCGTAGGCCAGGAGCAGCCGCAGCGCCGCCCAGCCCACGCCCTGCACCCGCAGCACGTCCCGGGACGCGCGCGCACGGAAGTAGTCGCTGCGAGCCGCCAGCACCGCCTTGTGTGCCCGCAGCCGGCGTCCCGACACCTCGATGACCAGGTCAGGCTCTCCGTGCGCCGGCCCGACGCCCGGGGGCACTGGTGCGAGGTCCCCGGGCTCCTCAGGGGACACGGGCTCCTCGGGGGACACGAGCTCTTCCAGCGACGTGGGTTCCTCGGTGGACACGGGCTCCTCGGGAGACACGAGCTCTTCCAGGGACGTGGGCTCTTCGGTGGACACGGGCTCTTCCGGGGACGCGCGCTGCGCTAGGTCCCCAGGCTCCTCGGCGGACGCGGACTCTTCCGGGGACACAGAATCCTCCGCGGACGCGCGCTGCGCTGGGTCCCCGGGCTGCTCGGCGGACGCGGGCTCTTCCGGGGACACAGAATCCTCCGGGGACGCGCGCTGCGCTGGGTCCCCAGGCTGCTCGGCTGACGCGGGCTCTTCCGGGAACACAGAATCCTCCGGGGACGCGCGCTGCGCTGGGTCCCCGGGCTGCTCGGCGGACGCGGCGCCGGCGCTGCCGACCTCCCACTGCCGCTCCACCACCCGCTGGCCGCTGCGACGCGAGGGCGGAGAGGACGCTGCGCCTTCCGCCGCGGAGGCGCGAGACTGCGGCGGGGAGCCGTCCCCGGAGCTGAAGCACAGCGACGCGCGGAGACTGCAGGGTGTCTGCGCGTCGGGCGGCTGCAGGCTGCCCTCTCCCGGAGCCGCGGGTGCGCCGCCCTGGCCGCACGCTCCCTGCGCAAAGGCGCCCCCGGCCTCGGCCCCGCGGCCGCGGTCGTCCCCGGGGTAGAGGGCGCAGGGGGGCACCGGGTTCTCCATGGGGACGCTTGCTCGCGCCACCGCCGCAGCCGGACCCGCGCTCAGCAGCCCAGCATGACCGCGCCCTGACTCGGGCTGCGCAAGGTCGCCCGTGCCTCCGGGGCTCTAGCTTCACGGGCTTTTCCTGGCCGGCGATCAGATTTCACTTGTGTGTGCACAGTTCCTTCGGCCCCCACACCGCTCCCCTCTGCCACGAGGAGGAGTGCGTCAGCGCCGTGCAGTCTCAGCTGAATTTCTGAAGGAGGCACCGCGGCGTGGGCCAGCCCGGGGCCAGGGTCTCCGTGGCTTGGTCCCCCAGGCCGGCGCACCGATGCTTCCCCCCAGATACGCGCCCACGGCCTCCGGGTGATCTGCAGCCCCTTCTCTGCAGCGCGGAGCTACCAAACCAGGGCAGGCCCTTTCTTCCTGGGCCAGCGTTCATCACTTTACTTTTCATCCCATCAGTCCCATCACTGCATCCCAGGACCAACACGTCCAAGGCCGCTGCCTCTAAACTTGAGAACCAGGATTTGAACTCCGTTCCCAGTGGAGTGCACCCCCGAGCTTGCTTTTATTTTTAAGACTCTCATTTGTGATCCGGATTTCGATTAGTCTCTATTAGTCTCCTGTCTGGCTTCAGCAGCTCTGGTACGTCTGCATCCACACTGCTCACCCCCCAGGGGAGGGGGTTGTCCATAAATCACTCTCCAGGTGGGTGTTAGAAAAACAGGATTCCTGCAGAAGCGGCCTTCCTCACTCATCCGTCCGGAGCCTCCTCCTTTGTTGGAACATCAGATGTTTCCAGACCGTGTCAGCACACTCTTGTTCCTGTTTGTGGGAGAGAGAGAGAGGGTGTTTGAGTGTGCACTCTGCAGCAGGGTCACCATGTGTCAGTGGGGTCTGCCACACTCCCCCACCAGTGCCACAGTAGGGGACCCACAGTGGGTGGGAAAGGGGACTGTGACTCGTCACTGCTGGAGAGTCGGATGAAGAAAATAAAGAGATCAACTTAGGGATTGTGTTCTCTCCTTATTCCTGCCCTGTTTGTGAGGCCCAGGGAGGAGAACCCGGTTCAGGCAATGAGCTTTAAAAACATCGGGTTTCTCAGAGTTTGGAGGGGAGGGGTTGGGGGGATGGGTGAGCCTGGTGGTGGGTATCACGGAGGGCATAGATTGCGCGGAGCGCTGCGTGTGGTGCATAAACAATGAATCTTGGAACACTGAAAAATAAAATTATTTTTAAAAAATAAAAACATTGGGTTGATCCAAACAAAACTCCCTTTTTATGGGTAAAAAAAGGCAGTCAAAGGTCAACAAATTCCTATTTTCAGCCTAATGAGATGTGTATGTAAAGGACGTTCAGTGAGAAAGCACAATGAACCTTACTAATTTTACTAATACGTGACAGTTTTCCTACAGTCTTTTCCAGTTGGTTTAAAAACCAAATATTTGGAGAAGGAGCAGAGACACTTCTGCGGACTTGGCCTCGGAGGCTCAGCTCTGGAATCTGTTTGAACCCCTCGCTCTCGGAACGAGCCTCTGAGAAACCTCAGAGCAGCAGTTCTCCAAATAGCCCACATGCAGCCAAAGAAAAACCAAAAGAAAGTATGTGGAAGGCAGATGTGAGCACCTGCAAGGGATGATAACATACAATCTTCCCTAAACTGGCAAAACCCCAGCCTGAAAGGGGTCTTAGCAGTCTTACCATGAACACGAGGGGAAAGTCGAATTGTGTTCTAGCTTCCTAACGAAGGGAATACCAGCAAGAAAAACAGCAAACACAGCTTCGTTTTCCATTACTAGCTAGGATGTGTTAGCCTCTCGCACGAGACGCGCGGTTCTTAATCAGCTTCCCCCAATGTCTCCGGATTTCTGCCTGTCCTTCCGAACACTGTCCCCTGAGCCTGTCCTTCTGAAGATGGTCCCCTGAGCCTTGCAGAAACTTGGAGTTGAGCATGTCTACCTGCTCGCCCTGAGCCTCCTGCTGCTGGGTTGCTAAAAACGCTTTCCCATTCTTTTAGCAGACGTGTCTTCAAGTTGGAAATGCAAAACCTTCCATTCTCTCTGCCTCTCCTGTCCTGTCTTTTCCAGAAATCCTGAAGGGCAGCTTCCATGGCAGAGCCACTGCACGGAAGGCCGTGGCCAGGGTGCATGGAAAGGCCGGGGGAGGAAGTGCTGAGCGAGCTGGATGCCTGGCCCACTGGGGCATGTGGGTCGCAGAGGAAGCCAGCAGGACAGACTCGCTCTGGTGTTTACTCAGCTGTGGCCCAGCCCTGCTGCAATGCAGTCTCTGGGCCGTCCACCCTGTCCCCCGCCGCCAGGCCCAGCGAGGTGGCCATGGACGTGAACACCGGAGCACAGCAAGGGAGAGAGGCAACAGGCCGGAACGCCGGGCACATGGCCCCTGGGAGGCAGCGGCACTCTGTCCGCGAGGTCATTCTGGGGAAGGTCTGATAAAACTAAGGTGTATTAACATATCTTACTAAAAACCGCATAAATACAAAGAAGAGAGATTGTCTGAGTCAGGGGTGGGAGAGACGGGCGAGAGGGTCAAAGGGTGCGCGTGCATACGTGGGTGTGAACCGGATGTCAGAAAATCGGAGAACCGGCTGTTAGGAGGCTTGTTCTTTATTTAACACGTCTGTGCACCGCCCAAGACCGTGGACCTCAGAGGACCAACCTAGTATTTTATTTCTTTCTGTGGCCTGAGAAAGGGTCCCAGAACTTCCTGGCTCTTTGGCTGACCTGACTCGTTAGACTGAATAAAAACCTAAGCCCTCAAGGTTGTCTTCATGTAAATTGTCACAGACCTAGAGAAGAGCTGTCGATGGGGGCACCTCGCAAAGCTGACATCTGGCCCGCTGTGTTTGAAAAGCGAGACAGAACCAGGCCAGTAACGGAGCAGGAGAGAAACCACCACAATCCCAAGTCGCCGGGGTCTGAGTTTTTAAAGTTTCTTTCCATGAATTTCTTGACTATTTTTAAAAATGATTGTATGATTTCCTAGGATGGACATTATTTATGTATCTAACATGGATATTAGTTTATTTAAAATTAAATAGGCTTCATTATAATATAGTTTGCTTAAAAGACTCTTGGTTTTCAATTTTTATGGTCGGCTTTTTGAAAAAACGTGTTTGTTTATAGACCCGGAGACACGTCTGAGCTTCTGCGACACGTGGCGGATTTCGTTGCTCGTAAGGAGTCCCTCTCCCCTGTCGTCCGCATCCCAGCCAGCCTGTTCCACACACATCGCCATCCACCCCGTTAGGCCCGGAGTCCCCGGGGACGGCACCTGCACCAGGCCCACCGTGCGCCTTCCCCAACACCAGAAAGACACCGTTCTCCCAGGAAACAGCCAATCGTCAGCATGAGGTTCATGAACAGAGAAAGCCGTAAGTGCAGGAGCCCTCGTAGAGCCCCAGAAACCTGCAGGGAGCCTCGGGAATTCTATTTGGTTACAGAATGTGTTGATTTGCGTCAGCTGTTCATACAAACACAGCTTTTCAAGATGATTTCGTCTTTGGGCCCCCATTACAATGAGTGGGCAGGTCCGGAGGGGCCCAGAGCAGGCGGGTGGGGCGGGCGCCCAGGCTGCAGGCCCACCGACACTCTTCACCCCCAGGGCCCGGGTCCCCTTCCCTGGGTACCCGTCACGGTGCAGAAGAGACTTGCAGGAGGACCGTCCAAACGCCGGGAGCCGCATTTCTGAGGCCAGAGCTGGCCACGGGAAGCGTCATTCACAAAATACATCTTCATTCAGAAATGCGGCCCAGTAACACCACTGTCCGGCCACGGTAAGCAAGTGGCGTGTGGGGTCTCAGAAGCGTGGGAAGTGGAGCCCGCGGAGTCCGCCTGCGAGAGATCTGTAATGTGCTCCAAGCAGGGAGAGACGTGGCGACTAAGAGGCCCTGAAGCCCAGGCCGGCCGTGTATCCCGTGGAGTTCAGAAGCGCCCGGAGCGGCTGGTGCCGGAGTCTGTGGGTAATTACATGAGTGTGGCTGCCCTTCGGTAGACCGAGTGACACCGATTAGGCTTTATTCCACCCAACGGTAATCTAGAATTCTGTTTTCACGAAGGACGCTTCTAAAAGACCAGATGAGCTGTGACATGGCCTGACTGCACAGGGGTAGTGAGAATGCGATAGCTAATGTCTCCATCCCGGGCGTGGGGCTGCCCCAGGCATGGTTCTGCTGGGTGAGCGACCGTACAAACACGCCAGGGCCTTGCTCTCATGAGCTCCGTTGTGCAGCAGAGGAAAGGAGAGGGGGGGCAGCCTCACCCACACGGCACGATGACGCCAGCGCGCAGCTCCTAAGGGCCAGAGCCAGAACTGGAACCAGCACCTGGCTCACGGGCTCGCACCGGGAGCCCAGGCCCCATGTCTCTGGAAGCGTTGGGTCCGTCGCTAGGGCTGACTGCGAGGGAGGCGACTTCAGCAGCATCCCCATGCTGGGTGGACTGAAGCCTCCATGTCTTCCCGAGCCCCGTCCGTGGCTCAGGACAACCGTCCACGGGGTCCTAGAAACTGGCGGCCCCGTCCCCCATGCTGGGAATAAAGCAGACAGAGGTGCACAGGCACCTGCGCTTTCGCGGGCGTTATTAGGGGAGTTACAATCTTTGTAACTTGAGGGGGTGAATCTTCAGCAGGAGATGATGGGAACACGTAAACTCCTCGGGAATTTCCCGAATAAAAGCTTTACGTAAGAGCTATTCTTCAAGTCCAGAGTCCCAGGCCGGGGAAGCAGGCAGTGAGCTGCCTATTCCAAGACACCAGACGCCCCGTGCCTTGTTCTGCAGAGCACGGCCTCAGGTCAGGTCTCTGGCTGCCGGCACATGGCAGCCTGCCAGCTGACGCAGGAGGAGGAAGGGCCCTGCCTCAGTGGGGCAGAAATCAAAGACAGGCTTGTCTTCAGTTGAAGAAAAGGAAGCCAACTCACAGAGCACAACCTGGGAGATGGAAGGAGAGGCCCCTGGGTCGAGCCCTGCCTCCAGCCAGGTTCATTCTGGGGCTTCCGAGGT